ACCAAGTGCACAGTGTTATAACCAACATGCCCCTCTTTACCTGCCTAGATAATAGTGTCTTCAGAAAAAAATGCCTAAAGAGTTCTTGCTTTTGAGTCTGGGTATAGAAAAAGCCACAAGAATTAGCGACAACCACACATCAGCAAACATATACACAATGATGTAGTACATTTATTTTCTGATTGTACTATTCCAAGAAGTTTACATATATTAATTGTCACACAATCCTATGAAGTAGCTCCTGTTTAAAGATGAGGAAATTGAAGCACAGAGAAGTTAAGTACCTAACTAAAGCTCACGCAGCTATTCAAGAGACATCACTGGGAGGAAGCCAAGTGATACAATTCTGGAATTATTAAAAGTTGAGACCATTGTTTTCTCACCTGTAATGCCCAGTTACAGCTTGTTATACAGAGTGAAGTAAGTTGGAAGAATAAAACAAATACCGTATAGTAGCACATATATATGGAATCTAGAATGGTACTGATGAACATGTTTTCAGGGCAGTAACAGAGATGCACATGTATAGAACAGACTTGTGGTCACAGCGAGGGAAAGGAGAGAGTGGGCAAACTGAGACAGTAGCACTGAAATATATATATATGTATATATAATTATATTATATTATATTTAATTATATATATCAATTTATATTAACATATAATATTATATCAATACATAGTGTTAGTCGCTCAGTCATGTCCAACTCTTCATGAGCCCATGGACTGAAACCCACCAGGCAAGGGGGTATGTCTATGGGATTTTCCAGGCAAGAATACTGGAGTGGAGTGCCATTTCCTTCTCCATATTAATATATAATAATATATTATTATGTATTATATTATATTAATTATTATATATTAAAATCAACATATAATTAATATATAAATATATATAATAAATATATTATATATAATATAAAATATAAATAATAAATATACAAATAATTATATGTTAAATTACATGATAAATATATTTAATATATAATATATAATAAATATATATTATATATTAATATATATTAAATTTAAATACATATATATATTACCATGTGTAAAATACATAGTTTGCTGGAAGTTGCTGTGTAACACAGGGAGCTGCACCTAGTCCTCTGTGGTGACCGAGATGGGTGGGATGGGGTAGGGAGGGAAGCTCAAGAGGGAGGGTGATATATGTATACTTATGGCTGATTCACGTTGTTGTACAACAGAAGCCAACACAACATTGTTTTTTTGTTTTTTGTTTGTTTTTAAGGTATCTGGGGTTTGTTTTATTTTTTTTTTCCATTTATTTTCATTAGTTGGAGGCTAATTACTTTATAACATTGCAGTGGTTTTTGTCATACATTGAAATGAATTAGCCATGGATTTACATGTGTTCCCCATCCCGGTCCCCCCTCCCACCTCCCTCTCCACCC